GATGGTTCCCATCGTGGGGATGGAGCGAGCCCCGCGAGTGTGCTCGCCGCATCGGCTAAGCTGCTGAACATAACGAAACGGCTCACTAGGATGGCGCCTACGGGTCCCGATTGTTACAGCTGTGCTGGCACCGCTGCGGGATGTCGAAGGGCTTTCTTAAGAAGTATATATATACCCCGCAATTGCGGATAAGAGTGAGGGGGCGGGCGCGGGCGACGCGGGCGTCGTCAAGCCGGCGGACCTCGTGGCCCCCACCTTCCTTGTCGATGGCGCTCTCCTCCTCCTCCTTCTCCTCCTCCTCCTCCTCCTCCTCCTCCTCCTCCTCCTCCGCCTCCTACTCCTCCTCCTCTTCCTCGTCCTCGTCCTCGTTCTCATCGTCATCGTCGTCCTCCTCCTCCACCTCGTCCTCCTCCTCCTCCGCTTCTTCCTCGTCCTCCCTCTCCCCCCCTCGTCCTTCCATCATCGTCCTCCCATTGTCGTCATGTTCCTCCTCGTCGTCCTCCTCCTCTTCCCCCCCTCCCGATCCTCCACCCTCCTCCTTTTCGTCGTCGTCGTCGTCGTCGACGTCATCGTCGTCGTCCCCTCCCTCCTCCTCCTCCTCCTCCTGCTGCTCCTCCTCCTCCTCCTCCTGCTGCTCCTCCTCCTCCTCCTCCTCCTCCTCCTCCTCCCTCCTCCTCCTCCCCCTCCTCGTCCTCCTGCAAAAGCAGCCCGCCGCAGGCGCCGAAAAAATTGGTTTGTACACTGAACGTGGTTTGGGTCGCGGGTGGGCCGCGGGTTCTCCACCGGGAACGAATGCAAAAGATGCTCGCCGCAGGCGCCGAAAAAATTGGTTTGTACCCTGAACGTGGTCGCGGGTGGGCCGCGGTCTCTCCACCTAGAACGATTCAAAAGATGCCCGCCGCAGGCGCCGAAAAATGTGGTTTGTACCCTGAACGTGGTTTGGGTCGCGGGTTGGTCGCGAGTTGATCGCGGGGTGGGTCGCGGGCTCTCCACCTGGAAGGAATGCAAAAAAAGCCCGCCGCAGGCGCCGAAAATGTTGGTTTGTACCTTGAACGTGGTTTGGGTCGAAGGTGGGTCGCGGGTGGGTCGCGGGTGGGTCGCGGGTGGGTCGCGGGTGGGTCGGGCGGGTCGCGGGTGGGTCGCGGGCCGCGGGCGGGTCGCGGGGGGGTCGCGGGGTGGGCCGCGGGCGCGGGGTGGGTCGCGGGTGTGGGTCGCGGGTGGGTCGCGGGTGGGTCGCGGGGTGGGTCGCGGGGTGGGTCGCGGGTGGGTCGCGGGGTGGGTCGCGGGTGGGTCGCGGGTGGGTCGCGGGTGGGTCGCGGGGTGGGTCGCGGGGTGGGTCGCGGGTGGGTCGCGGGGCGGGTTGCGGGTGGGACGACGACAACAAACAACAACAACAAACAACAACAACAACAACAACAACAACACGAATCCGCACCGCGGAATCTCACTTCAGCCACGCACCCAGGGACAGTGAATGACCGTTCGGCCCCCTCACTCTGACGTGCTCGTAAGTTGCTGAATTACTCGCTCATCGACTGGTGTCATCGTTCAATTGTAAGTGGTATGAATAGCACGTGCTAGTTTACACGGCCTCTGAGCAACACCCGCTCACAACTGCGCTATTGTTACCGTGTGGGAGTACCGTGTGGGAATACCGTGTGGGAGTACCTTCCTGCACTGGTGTACGTCTGCGTGCCCTTGCTTACACGCGCAAGCGCGTATACAGTATACCATAGGGGTATCAATGAGGCTGACATTACGAGGCGACGTGTTAGACACGGAGGCAGGTGGCGTACGGATAGCCGCATGTAAAAGCTGTGGACAAGTTGGAAGATTAAGTCTGGCCCCACGTCATAATGCAAACTGTGACCTCGCAGAACGAACTGCATAATAAGCAACCCTCTAAACCTACTGGCAAACATGCGGACCCTCAAGACAACGCCAAGCGCAAGAGAGAGGGCCGCGATAACACATTACAGCACGAGGGGATCGCATTATGCCACACGTTCGTAGCTGGCAAATGTCAAGGTCATGCGACTTACATCCAATGGATTCTTCCAAGGGCAAGATGTGGGCGCGAGCTTTATTCTACCGCGAAGCATGCGCACAGCGAGCATTCTCAACATTGAACCTCTAAATGTTAGCGGGCCTACAGCCTGCAAGAGTTACACTCTGAGTGGTAATCACCACGCAAGAAAAAACAGCCAATCATACGCAAGGCTCAGCCGATTACCATTGCCACTCCCCGAACTGCAGGAGCGTGTACGTATTGAGCAATTCTGACGACAGCCTGCATGCATCGTGCGAAAGATTGCTCACGTGCGCAACACCCCTCACATTCTATAGCACAGACCCGTAGACCATTGGAGTTGTACATGTCTGCGTTGGGGCGCACTCTGCCTCTACAATCGCTTAGGCTTGCAAGCCTGTCCATACGCTCAGAAGGCACCCCTCACCGACTCATGGCGCGTGACAAGATCAACACCAGAATGCTGCTGCCTGCAACAAAATAATGAAGCGCATGCGTCGAGATGTGACGGGGGCGCTGCGATGAAACAACTAGCGGCCTTCTGCCGAACAAGAGCTCTCCCCACAGGAGCACAGGCTGGTGGTGGAGGTTTTGCAACCTCAGCTCGCGCCGAATCACATAACTCGCAACATGCGCGGCTCACGGTTGACTGATCATAGCCACCATGTGATCTTCTAGCAGACAGCAGCGAAACGAAGTGATCAATAACACCAGCGTCCACGAGGGATAGGTCGCACAGCACCCTGGACCGTGGCCCCCCGACAGTGACGAGACGTCTAAGGTCCGACTGGTAGGATGATCGCGCAGTGCACGCATGAGTTTAGGTCGAGCATGTCCTCCTACAGGCGGGTTTTGGAGGGAAATTCAAAATACGCAAAACATACCCCAGAATAGTCGAAATGATAACAAAAAATCGCCCCCAGGCTAGATTTTGACTATGTTTGAATGTTCCTCCTGTCGAGGGACGGGCCCGACTGAAGCATGAGTGCAGCAAACGAGTGGGAGAGGCGCCAACACCAGAAAAACTGCTCGCGACAGCGCCCATTACCCAGGGCCGCCGACGGCCGTCCCCCCCCCCCCCCGGTCTCGGCGGCACGCCCAAAGGGGGACGTGAGAAGGGGCGGGCCTCCTCGGAAGGCTCGGAGGGCCCCCGGCCTTCTGAGAAGCAGTCTCTGCAGAGGCCTTCCCCGAGGGCGCCGCATGCTTCACCGACGGCGCGAGGGCCTCTGCGAAGCCCCGCCGCCCTCGCACAGCCTATGGCCCCCTCCTCCTCGCCCTCGCCCCCCTCGCCCGCCCGCGCCCCCGCGAGCCTCAGGGGCGCCCGCCCCAGCAGTTTACGCGAGAGGGCACTCATGGGGCCGCCGCCCCCCCCCCCCCCAAAAAAAAACTGCAGCATCCCCTCCCCCATCACTCTTCTGGGCCTCTCCCTCCTCCCTCCTCCCTCCTCCCTCCTCCCTTCTCCCTCCTCCCTCCTCCCCGCCCTGACCTTCCTACGGGACGTGAAAGCGACCACCGCCACTGCTTTTTTCTCTTGTTGCCGCCTGCCAGCCAGCAGAAGCAAAGCAGTGGTTTGTGGTCCTGTCCGTGACGCTTGGCACCGGGGAAGAGACCACGACCACTGCGCTTCTTCTTCGGCCGGCGGGAAGGCGGCGCCAACAAGAAGCAAAGGCTGTGGTCATTTTCCCGTCCCGCACCCTCCTCCGATGCGAACTGCGTGGCCGACTCCGGAAGCCCCGAGGCCAGAAATGCGCTCCTCTCCCGGGGGGCGCAATCTTTACCTCCGCCGCCCGTCCGCCGGCAAAAGGCGGCCCCGCTTTTACTTCTGCCGAACTTCCGCCGCCTTCCGCCACGGAAGAGATGACAATCCCTTCTGTCCTCGAACGCAGTGCCCTTCTTGGAACACCCCATGTGGGTTTCCTGGAATTGCGGAATGGGTCCATGAATTTCGATGACTTCTCCAGCAACTCCCGCGAAGGTCGGAAGGTGGGGAAGGAGGAGATGGAGGATCGCGCACGAAAACTCGACAAGAGCCCTTGACCCCATCTTTCTGCGGCCTCCGTCGGGCCGGATCGAGCCCGAAGCACACTGGCGGCTCGCACAAGGGGCCTCACTTCCAGAAGAAGGCTGCCTCTCAGAAGGCGCCCGCTCTGCACCTATGACTGCCTACCAGACCACCCCAACCCAACAAGAAGACCCGAATTTCGGGTTGGGGGGGGGGGGTAAGGGTTTCACATGTGTTTTTTCTATGGTTTCCGACCCTCCCCCCACTGGAAATCGAGGGTAAATCTGAGCCTTCGGGTTGGGTTGGGGTGGATTGGTGGGTGGTGATATACCGACGAGGCCCGCGCCCGCTGAGAAGCAGGGGTGCTTCTGAAGAAGCCTTGCCCCTCCCCCACGGCCCCCCTCTGCGCGCGGCTGCGCAGGGCAGCGCCGCCCGCTGTGCGGAGCAGCTGCGACGCCAGGACCTCTCAGAGGTTCTACTCGGGGCCACCGCCCCCCCTTTCCCTGCCTGCAATTGAAGGGGCCCAGGGACACACACACACACACAAATGCATAGAGACACACATCCGGGGCCTCCGATAGTTTCCCATACAGTCGGGGCCTTGACCGAAGGAACCCTAAATAAGGAACGAAGCCCCTTTTTTCCATAAATTGAACCTCGATTTCCGATCGAAAACCTAAGGAAAACCTGAGGCGCGAAACACTCAAGGAACGCGGAGCCCCTCCCTAACGAAGAGGGTTCCTTCTTCAGGGCTCCGACTGTACTTTTGGGGGAATCGACGATTCATCCTGTCCGTGTGCTTCTTCCCTCCGGAGTAATGTCAAGAACCGCGCCAGTGCCGCCTCAGAGTGGGGTGGGGGGTCCAGGGCAGCCCACTCCCGGGCGGCGCCGCCGCGGATCGCGGCTTTTTTGCGGGCAACTCTCGACGACGGGGTGTGAGAGCATTTGTTGTTGCTTGGTCGCGGCGACTCGGAGCAAGACGCGTTCGGCCAAGAGGGGCCACTCGGCCGCGAGCTGACACCTGGGCGCGCGGCAGAGGAAGGGGCGGCGGCCGCGGAGGAAGAGACAGGCGAGGAAGCCACGCCTGGACGAGCGTCGCCTTCCTGGGTGGCAGGCCTGTCTGGGTCTGCCTTGATCTGCACGCTGATCTTCCCCGATCTATTCTGGCCTGATCCCCGCACGCCAACGAAAAAACGAGTCGCTGAGCCCGCGAGAGCTGGCGCGAGGGGCGCGCGAGGGACGAGGCACCCGCCAACGGGGCCACCGAGGTCCGCGCCGCCACCCCCAAGTCTGTCCCGCGGGGCCCTCCCGCAGCCCTTCCGTCGTCGACGACACGCAGGAGTGATCCCAGGACAGAGCGACCGGGGGGGCGCGGAGAGGCCAGACCCGAGCGCGCAAGCCTAGAAGAAGAAAACACACCATAAACATGAACTCTCCGCGCTCCGCGCGGGTTTCGTGGATCTGCGCTGGAACCCCCTAGGGCCGCCGCCGGAAGCGCCGCCAGGGGGCCCCAGCGCAAATCCAAGGAATCCGCGCGGAACGCTGACAGTTAATGTTTGTGCTGTTTCTTCCCCTTCGAATTCAGCGATCTGGCGCAAGGTCACTCTTTCGCGCAGCCGACAGCAGGAGGCGGGCACCCCTGGAACGCCCTCGGCGAGGCGCAGCTGCTGGAGTGCATCCCAAGGCTAGAAAACCGCTGAGAACCGCCGACGACGCCCGAAAACCTCGAAGCTCGAACCCGACACCGCCGCAAAACAGAAAACATCATAAAGAAACGAACCTCTCGACCCTCTAAACCTCGATGGCGGTCAAGCGTCAAGGGCCGGCTGCTCGCAGACGGGCCGGGCACGCCGAGCCCAGGGCCGCGGAGGCCCGCGGCGGCGGCGGGGGCGGCTGGCGGCTTGCCACGAGGTGCGCGGCGGCCGGCGTCCGCGCGAGGTGCGCGGCGCGGGCCACGGCGGCGCAGTTCGGGGAGATGGGGTGCACCGGTTCGGGGGGAGGAGGAGGGAAGGAGGGAAGGAAAGGAGGGAGGAGGAGGAGGAGGAGGAGGAGGAGGAGGAGGAGGAAAGAAGGGGGAGTGGGGAATGGGCAAGCTAGGTGCGGTCGCGTCATATCTGACGTCCTACCACTCCCTCCCACCCCTTACCATGGCGTAGATCTCCTCTATTCGCACAATCGGATGTCGGAGCATCGCATAGCATTACATGGCATAGCATGGTGTCGGAGATCAGCGCGTAGCATGACATAGCATGGCGTGGGGACGCCTCAAAGTGGTTACGCCCCAAAGTGGGGGGGGCTGTTGCGGCCCAGAAGATCAACGAATCGACACCGAATGTGTAATCACTTCCGATGGTTTCTTCGGAAGGGCAATTTTCTAGATTTTGGGGCCTGTTGGGAACGACCGAAAACAATACAGGGGCACGGCGCTGGAAATAATGACGCCAGCGCTGCAGCGGAAGCACGATTCGGAACGAGCGGAAGCGCGAAAATGAGGCCAGCGCTGCAGCGGGAGCACGATTCGGAACGAGCGGTAGCCCGAAAATGAAGCCAGCGCTTCAGCGAGAGCAGCATTTGGAAACAAAAAATCAGCGCGGAAGCGCGGACATGAGGACGCCTGACATTGCATAGCGTGACGAAAACCCAAAGTGGTGGGGGGCTTCTGCGGCCCAACAAATCAACGAATCGACACCGAATGTGGAATCACTTCCGCTGGTTTCTACGGGGGTCCATTTCCTAGATTTTGGGGCCTGTTGGGAACGACCGAAAACCATACAGGGGCACGGCGCTGGAAATAATGACGCCAGCGCTGCAGCGGAAGCACGATTCGGAACGAGCGGAAGCGCGAAAATGACGCCAGCGCTGCAGCGGGAGCACGATTCGGAACGAGCGGTAGCTCGAAATTGAAGCCAGCGCTTCAGCGAGAGCAGCATTTTGAAACAAAAACTCAGCGCGGAAGCGCGGAAATGAAGACGCGTAGCTTGACATTGCATGGCGTGGCGACAATCCAAGTGCAGGGGGCTTCCGCGGCCCAACAAATCAACGAATCGACACCGTTTGCGTAAGAACTTCCGATGGTTTCTTCGGAGGGGGGCATTTCCTAGATTGTGGGGCCTATTTGGAAGGACCGGAAACCATGCCGTGGCATGGCGCTGGAAATAATGACGCCAGCGCTGCAGCGGAAGCACGATTCGGAACAAGCGGAAGCGCGAAAATGAGGCCAGCGCTGCAGCGGGAGCACGATTCGGAACGAGCGGTAGCCCGAAAATGAAGCCAGCGCTTCAGCGAGAGCAGCATTTGGAAACAAAAAATCAGCGCGGAAGCGCGGACATGAGGACGCCTGACACTGCATAGCGTGACGAAAACCCAAAGTGGTGGGGGGCTTCTGCGGCCCAACAAATCAACGAATCGACAGGGCCTGTTGGGAACGACCGAAAACCATACAGGGGCACGGCGCTGGAAATAATGACGCCAGCGCTGCAGCGGAAGCACGATTCGGGACGAGCGGAAGCGCGGAAATGACGCCAACGCTGCAGCGGGAGCACGATTCGGAACGAGCGGTAGCCCGAAAATGAGGTCAGCGCTTCAGCGAGAGCAGCACTTTGAAAACAAGCTCAACGAAAACCCAACGCCCGGGAAACCTGTGTAAAAAAACAGTGCGCGGAGGGGGGCCGGACATTCCCCAGACGCCACCAAGGGGGAGAGGAGAGTAGTATTCATATTGTGTAATTGCGGAGGGGGGGAGAGGGAGGGAAGGAGAGGAAGAGGAAGGGCAAAGGGTAGGAGGGAGGAGGGAGGGGGGGAAAGGGAGGAGGGAGGGGGCGTAGGGAGGAGGGAGGAAGGAGAGGGAGGAGGGGGAGGAGGAGGGAGATGGGGTGCACCGGTTCGGGAGGAGGAAGAGGAGGGAAGGAAAGCAACCTCGGGCCAGAGCGGGCCTGGGGCTGTTATGCGTGTCCCCCTTAGGTGGGCAGTCCGCTCACCGTATGAGATGCTTCCAACGCTCACACATTACATCCTATCCCCATCCCTCGTATTCTCGCACGTCAGCCCTAACCATATAGCGTTGAGGCTAAGAGTGACTGCATGTATCATTATTATCGGCAGCGTCCCACTTAGCACACAGTATGGAGAGACGCTCAATAGGATCGGATTCTAAGCACGAGCGCATCGCACTCACGTATCTTAAAGAAGATCTGGGACGACTACCCACATGCATCGACAGTTCAAAACATGGTGATACCGATTGGCATGGCACTAGTACTCAGAATTCGCATATTCACCGACCTGCAGGCCAGACAGCCACCACGACAGCTATCACGCCAACCACCACGGCAGCCACCACGACAACATCCAAGACAGTCAAGTCACAACGACAGCTACCACTGCGACAGCCAGCACAACAACCACCACGGCAGCCACCACGAGAACTACCACGACAATCACCACGACAGCCACAGCGACAACAACGCGACAACCAACACGGAAGACACCAGGGCAGCAACGCGACGGCCACTACGACAAACACGACGAAAGCAGCACGAAAGCCACCGTGACAGCGTCCACGACAACTAATGCGACAGCCACCACTACAGCTTCCACTGCAGCCACCACAACTATTACGATGGCCATCGCGACAGCCACCACGACTGTCACAACGACGGCCATTACGATAGCAACGCTACGACAACCGCGACAGCCACCACGACAACCACCGCGACAGCTCCTACGGCAACCACCACAACAATCACCGCTACAGCAAAGCGGCAGCCAACGCGCCAGCCACAACGAAAGCAACGCTGTAACAAGACACCCGCCACGACCACGGCAGCAACGCGACAGCCACAACGACAGCCACCACGACAGCAACTACGGCAACAACGCGACAACCACAGCGACAGCCACCACAACAACTACTACGACAGCTACCAATACAGTTAGCACAACAGCCAATTACCACGACAAGCACCACTGCAACCACCACAACAACTATTACGATGGCTACCGTGGCAGCCACCACGACAGGAACCACTACAGCAACGCGGGAGCCACGACGACAGGCACCACGGATGCAACGCGACAACCAATACGACAACCACGACGACAAGACATTACGACAACAACGCTGCAACCACCACGACAACCACCACCACAACCACATCGACAACCACCGCTACAACAACGCGAGAACCGACGCGCCAACCATAAGGGCAACAATACGACAGCCACCACGGCAACAACCACGACAACCACCACGGCAACCACCCCGGCAGCCACCGCGACAGCCACGGCGACGACTGCCACGACAGCCACCACTAAAGCTACTACGACAATCACCACGGCAATCGCCACGACAACTACTACGACTGCTACCACGATAGCAACCACGACACCCATCACGACGGCAACGCGACAGCCACCACGACAGGTACCACGGCAGCAACACGACAGCCAGCATGACAGCCACCACGACAGCAACTACAGCAGCAACGCAGCAACCACCACGACAGCCATCACGACAACTACTACGACAGCTACCACTACGGTTACCACCACAGCTGCCACGACAACCACCACGGCAGCCACCACGACAACAACCACGACAGCTACCACAACAGCCACCACTACAGCAACGTGGCAACCACAACAACAGCCACCACGGCAGCACAAACCAGCAAAACAACAGCCTGCCATCCAACAAACCACCCACCGACCAGCAGACAGCGGACTACATCGCACCAAACAGCGGACCACCGACTACTGACCAGCAGCCACACCGACCGCCGACTCCTACCCCCGCCCATCTTACCAAGCCTGCCGCCAATTTGGCTTGTACCGCCCCGTCCAGGGCTTGCTGCTCCATGTATCCATTCGCAGGACGTGCCACCTCCCCAGTCACGGGCTGCATGTAACTACCACGACTGAAAGGACACCGACGAGCACGACACATACGACGACAAGGCACCAGCTACACTTCCCCACATTTCTTTTCTTCACAGCGAAGCGGCTTCTACTCCCGACGTTATCGACGCCACCGTTCCCCACGATACCCTTCCCCACGACGCCCTTCCCACGTCGCCCTTCCCCACGACGGTACACAGGAACTGCTACCACTCGTAGGTCCACCAAGGTACACAGACGCGACAGCGACGACACCAACTACAAGCAACGCGCGACCATCACGACAACCGCACTACGACAACCACCGCGCCGGCGACGACGACCACCACTCTGATGACAACGACCCCAACGCCCCTCCAGACGACCGAACCCGCGGCCTTCCCGACGCCCTGTCTGAAGTCGTACCCGACACTTTGACGACGACTTCATCGAAGACTACCACGACTACTGCGACTACAGCGACAACTACCGCGACGGCCACCACGACGGGCACGACTTCCACGAAGCACATCACGACGGCGACCACGGCGCCCAATCCGACGCCAACCACCACGACGGCTACCACGACAGCCGGGATGCCTAGCTCGACGCCCCACCGGACGCCCAGCCCGACGCACTACCCGCCGCCCAGCCTGACGCCCTACCCGATGCCCAACCCCACGACACCTCTCCCCACGCCCGCGACCCCCCGGAAGACACCCCTCCTCGCGACACGCACCTACCAATCTACGCCGACCAGCAGAGTGCCCACCGCCGACCCGCCGAACCACCCACCAGCAGACCCACTAACCAGCTGACAAATCGACCCACAGACCCACCGACCAGCAGTCCACTGCCCACCGACCAGCTGACCATTCGACCAGCAGACCACCGACCAGCAGACCTACCGCCCAGCAGGCCCACCGCCGAGCAGACCCACCGAGCACCAGCCCTACCGACCAGCAGCCCCACACCGATCAGCAGACTCACGGACCAGCAGACCACGGCCCACCGACAAGCAGACCTACCGACCAGCAGTCCGACCTAAAAGCAGACCCACCGACCAGCAGACCGACCGACCAGCAAACCTACCGACCAGCAATCCACCGCCAGCCGAAGAGCAGACTACCGACCACCGACTCACAGGGCAGCAGCCACACACCACCGCCCACTGACGGGCAGACCTGCTGACCACCACACCACCGAGCACCTACCGACGAACAGACCTATCGACCAGCAGACCACCAGCTACCGGGTACTGACGAACATACCTACCGTTCCACGAGAGCACTCCACCGAGGAGAATACCAACCGCCGACCACCACCCACCGACGAGCAGACCTATCGACCAGCGAGTCATAGACCGCGGATTGACAGACTACAATCGAGCGGACCAGTCCACCGACACACGAACTACAGAACAGCAGGCTACCAACTACAGACCAGCAGACCCCCGGGCAGACTGCCAACCACTGACCAACAAACTACCAACCACCGCACAACAAACTACCGCCCAGCAGAATACCAACCACCGACCTACCGTGCAGGAGGACTGCAGCGCGTATGGAAATGTCACTACCGACGAACATCCGTGCAAACAAAGAAGCCAACGACGACCCCTTCTCGACGCCCTTCCCCACGATGCCCCCGATGACTCCCCACCCGACGCCCTTCCCCAAGACACTTCCGGCGATTCCCCACCCGACGCCCTTCCCGACGCCCAGCCAGGAATGAAGGTCAGACTCGCACGCCTCTAGAAAATGAGCGAGCTCAGTGGCGTGAAGGGCGTTATTGTTGCAAAGAGCTCTGATTCAAGTCGGCAATTAATCTATGGTACTCGGACTGTATCAGTCAAAGCTGACAATTTCGAGATCACATCAAGACCACACAACACGTTGCTTGCAGCGTTTACGCACTCCGCAGGAAAGTTTGAATACCACAACGAGGTCGTCAATTCTGTTGAGTTTGGTCAGATTTGGAAACACGCCAACAAAGGAGGCGGAATAGAGGGCCTGGTTGACACCCTATCCGCTGACGAACAACAGTTCGACATCATATGCCAAGCCTTTGTTCAATATTTCGTGCTGCGCGAACATGATCAGATATCACGTTTGGGATATCTCACTCACGTATCAGCGGCGTCACCAACCTCCCCCTCCCACCCAGGTCCGCCCATTTCTTGATTTTCTTTACCCTATCCCCCCCCCTCGTTGATCTTCTCTTCCCTCCTCTTGTGGGACGGATACGGGTGTGCATGTGTGTGCGTGTGTGCGTGTGTGCGTGTGCGTGTGTGAGTGTGTGTATGTGTATGTGTGTGCGTGCGTGTGCTTGTCTGTGTGTGTGTCTGTGCGTGGGTTGTGCGCGAGTGGCTGGGAGATGGTAAGGGTACTTCCTACGGGAAGGTGTCGCCGACTGCGGCCCGACCCTCGGCGAAGGCCGCTGAGAGGGGGCGGGGCGGAGATGGTTGAGGATGCTGGTGGGGGAGCAAGCGGCAGTCATTGTAAGCGTTCGGTTGCATCCTCTGCAACCCGCTCTGGGCCGAGCACCTTGATGCTGTGGCGCCCCGCGAAGCGACGCCCGAGACGAACAGCGGCGAGTGCAGCCCCGCTCCTCGGTCTGCGCCGATACTCCCTGCCGCGGTGGTGGACCCGTGCGGCACGTGGCCACCAGGGCAGGCCATGGACTTTGAGAGACCGCAAGCGTTTCGCGTGTGGGATTGGCCGTTGCTTTGCGCCATCATTCTTGATGCCCGGGTCACAGTGTGGAGGGTGTGTGGAGGTGGTGTGGATGGTATCGGGGGTGGTGGGGAAGTTGACGGCATTCGTTGCTAGTGCTTGGTCGCTCCCTCTGCAATCTGTTGTGGTCCGATCGCCCTGCGGTTGCGGTGTACCTTGGAAAGCTGCGGCGCCCGAGACGCACAGCGGCCGAATGGCCCCGCTTGTCGGCCACATTGCTGGCCGCAGCGGTGGGCCCTTGAGGCACGTAGCCACCATAGCAAGCCATGGAGCTGGCATCTCTCAGCTGCATGGCGCGTGTGAGAGGCCGCTCTCTCTGCCACCAGTCCTGGTGAGGGCAGTGTGCCATGCCCGAGTGTGCGCCCGCGGCGCCAGTGGAGGGGAGGGGCGAGGATTGCAAGAGTGGTGGAGGAGACGGCATTCACAGCGACCGCCCGGTTGCCTCCGCAGCAGCGTGCCGAGGACCGATCGCCCCGACGTCGCGGTGCATGTCAGGGTCACGCGGCGGCGCGCGACACGAACAGCGGCTCGAGTGTGGCCCCGCTCCTCGGCCGCGGTGGCAGGCCCATGAGGCACGTGGCCACCAGGGGGAGGTACGGACGAGGTGGGGCGAGGTGGGCAGATGGAGGAGGGAGGACGCGCGAGTCGGCCGCCGAGTGCGTGTTGACCGCCAGAGATGTGCTTCACCGAGCTTCCGAGCCTCTGAGCAGCATCTTGCTCATCGCCCTGATGTCGCGGTGCATGCCAGGGCGCAGCAGCGCCCGAGACGAACAGCGGCTGAATGTTGCTCCGCTCCTCGGTCCGCTCCGCCTCCATGTTTGCTGACACATCAGGCAAATGGCCACCAAGACAGACTGTGGAGCCGGTACATCTGAGTTGATTCGCGTGCATGGGAGGCCGATTCTTTCTGCAACCCTTCGTGGTACCATACGCGTAGCGGGGGGGTATGGAGGGGGAGGTTCAAAGTAGGTGGGCAGATGGAGGAAGGAGGACGCGCGAGTCGACCGCTGAGTGCGTGTTGACCGCCAGACTTATGCTTCACCTAGTTTCTGAGCAGCATTTTGATCATCACCCTGATGTCGCGGTGTATGCCAGATCGCAACAGCGCCCCAGACGAACAGCTCCTTGGTCCGTGCCGCCTCCATTGTTGCTGATACGTGAGGCAAGTGGCCACCAAGTCAGACTATGCAGTAGGCATCTCTCAGTTGATCTGCCTGCATGGAAAGCCATTTGTTTGCCATGAGTCGTGGTACCCTAGGCGTAGCGGGAGATGTATAGTTTAGGAACTAGCATAACAGAGTTGGGATGAGCGTTGTCGACATATTTATACAGAATCCCTCGGTGAGGGCATTTTCATTAACTGCAGCACTGTCCCGCGGTGAGGGCCTTGACCTGGGAGGGCTTGGGGTAGATGAGCAGGTGAGGGGGTGCGAAGGAGAGGAACTTCACAGCCTGGCTGGCGCATACTCTGTGCCCTTGCGGGCCCACGGGTTTTTCCATCTCTTCACGCCTCTCACTTTGCCGCTGCGCCAGCCAGGCGTAAGCATTGTATTTATCGATGCCTCGCACTGTTTTTATATAACATAAGCAATAAACAAAAATACGCCAAATGCTCAGTTCATTACACGTCAGATCAACGTTAAAAAGAGAACGAAAAGGAGAAGGGAGGAAGGAGGAGGGGGGAGGGAGAGGAGGGAGGAGGGAGGCAGGAGGAGGGAGGAGGGGAAGGAGTGGGAGGGGGGGAATGAGGAAGGAGATGGGGTGCACCCATTCGGGAGGAGGAGAAGGAGGAGGAGGAGGCGGAGCGAAGAACAGAGAGGAGGAGGCAGGAGGAGGGACGAGGGAGGAGGGTGAGGAGGGGGAGGAGGGGAAGGGGGAGGGGGGGAGATGAGCAGGTGAGGGGGTGCGAAGGAGAGGGACTTCACCGCTTGGCTGGCGCATACTCTGTGCCCTTGCGGGCCAACGGTTTCTTCCGTCTCTTCACGCCTCTCATTTTGCCGTTGCGCCAGCCAGTCGTAATTATTCTTCCTTGATGCCTCGCACTGTGTTCTGCTTCGACGCCAAATGCACAGTCCTTTACGTCTGATCAACGTTTATTACGTCTGGTCAACGTTAAAGAAAGAAGGAAGAAGAGGAGGAGGGATGAGGGAGGGAGAGAAGAAGGGAGGAGGGAGGAGGGAAAGGAGGAAGAAGGTAGGGTGCACCCATTCGAGGAGGAGGAGGGGGAGGAGGAGGAGGAGGGAGGAGGAGGAGGAGGAGGAGGAGGAGGGAGGAGGAGGATTGAAAGAGAGGAGGAGGCAGGGGGGGGATTGGAGGATGTAGGAGGGAGGGGGGGAGGAGTGGGAGGGGGAGCGGTGGTAGATAACCAGGTGAGGGGGTGCGAAGGAGAGGAACTTCACAGCCTGGCTGGCGCATACTCTGTGCCCTTGTATGTTTCTATCTCTTCACGCCTCTCATTTTGCCGCTGCGCCAGCCAGGCGTAAGTATTTCATTCCTTGACGTCTCGCTCTGTGTTCTTTCTTCCACGAAGCAACAAGCTCCGTTCTGTATGTCTGTTGAGGAGGAGGGAGGAGGGGTGAGGGGGAGGAGGCGGGAGGGACGAAGGAGGAGGGGGAGGAAGGAAGGATCGGAGGGGGAGGAGGACGGAGATGGGGTGCACCCGTTTGGGAGAAGGAGGAGGAGGAGGAGGAGGAGGAGCGAAGGAAGGAGAGGAGGAGGGAGGAGGGGGGATAGGAGGAAGAGGGAGGGAGGAGGGAGGAGGGGGAGGAGGGGGAGGGGAAGGAGGAGGAGGAGGGAGAATATGGGGTACACAGGTTCGGGAGGAGGAGGAGGAGGAGGGAAGGAGACTTGCCACGTCTCTCTCCAGACATCCTAACGTCTCGAAAAAAATCAAGACGGAAGTGCTCCATCGTTTGCGGCCTCGCGGGGCCCTTACCGGGCCTTGGGGCCGACACAAGAACGACTCGGCATAGAATCCCGTTCCAGGGAAAGTGATCGAGAGGTCGGGGGCCCGTGTCTGGAAAATTGATGTCTGGGTCTGAACTCCAACTCTGGACCATCGGCGATGTTATGGAATCGGGCAGCTGGCAGACCCCACATGATTTTATAAGCATCCTCTACGCCCTGACACGCGTAGTCAGAGACATGTCAGATTCTCCAACGCTGCGACAGGTGGAAAAGAGATGCCGACCGCACATGCGAGATGATTGTCGTGAGCAAGGCGCTGCAAGTGCATCACCAACACGCATCGGAAGAATGTACATGGCAACAGGCAACACACAACAGCGCGCTATGCGATCGCACTGCGTATGCTCCACCGCGTTGCGTGAGTAAGCGTGTGGAAGAATATGGCGGCTTGCGTGCAACACTATACCTGGTTTTCATAGTGACGCATATGTACCCCCGCGTGTGACCTGTACACCTTCATCATGTAGCCAAATGGACCACCCATGTCAAGAACACACACACATACACACTTGACGAAGACGCAACATGTGCTTCGACATGCTGCCAGGTCCCTGCATCTATTACTTTCAATTAAGCTTCCTACCAAGGCCCCAAATCCGAAAAAACGTGGTCGTGCTCTGTCCCTCTCTCTCCCTAGTTCTCTCTCTCTCTCTCTCTCTCTCTCTCTTTTCGTTACACACAACTATCGAGCTCAAGGCGACACGTGGCAAAGCGATCTTGCCGATGCAGGTCAGTGCCTTACCTGAGCATTGGGAACGCTCTCAATAAGGGCTAGCACAAACAACTACACAACCTCGAAACAAGACATATCAGCGCAGCACCACGTTGACGGCATCGTTGAACCACACGTGCGGGCTCACAGGGGACCGCTGCGATTGCCAAGTCCTGCCGGTACACATGTGCGCTGAAAGAACCTGAAACAACAAACGATATCATCTCGCAGCTGGCAGTATCGGCAACAGCGGTGGTAAGGGGTACAGCATGGCTCAGCCCCCCAAGAGATTAGTTTTTCAGAGTGAGGCGGCCGAACGGTCATTCATTGTCCCTGGGTGCGCGGTTGACATGTGATTCCGCTGCGCGGGTTCTTGTTGTTGTTGTTGTCAACGAATACTCATTCCTGAAGAGTAATTGTTGTTGATCTCCGGAAGCCGTTCCGCGCGGTCTCGCCTCGACGCCGGCTACATCTTCTCTGAAAACGAGGCTCCCGCTCGAGCGTTGGCTTGAGCCTAAATGTGGGCCCTTGCAGGCCCAGCTACGACAACGATGGCTCCCGCTCGATAGTTCCTCACAATTTACACCGAGACACCCTGGCCAGAGAGGCCCCCGAACTCAGGAACGGCGCTCTCGCTCGAGACTTTCATCGCAAGTCCATTAAGTTGGCGGAGGCCCAGCCACGACGACAAAGGCTCCTGCTCGATACTTCCTCACGGTTTACTCCGAGACCCCTGGCCAAGAAGGCCCCAGACTCAGGAACGGCGCTTTCGCTCGAGACCTTCCCATAATTCAGGCAAGTTGGTGAAGGCCCTGACACGGCGACAAGGGCTCCCGTTCGATAGTATTCCGAGAGCCCCTGGCCAGAGAGGCCCCCGAACTCAGGAACGGCGCTCTCGCTCGAGACTTCTTCGCATTTCAATCAGTGGCCGACAAGGAAGAGATTCCCCCCGAAAGGGGGTGCAATCGAAGACGAAAAGAGCGGGTATCGAGGGTTGGGGTATACGGAATGCAAGACACGCGTGCCAGTAAGAGCGAACAATATGAAACTGATTGTTGTTTTCGTCGTTCCTCAAGCGACTCACCCACCCCGCGACCCACCCCGCGACCCACCCACCCGCCCCCTGACTCTTATCCGCAATTGCGAGGTGCTACGTGCTCGCCCTGGGATTGGGCGTTCCATAACCCTTCATCGTGGTGCACCAACCGTCTGCGCCATCTGCTGCCTCAGACGCGATCGACGACGGTACCGAACTCTATCGGGCTCCAAAGCGACCCCTGCGCCCGCCCACGCCTCGACTGCGACCTGTCCCCGCTCGCGACCCGCCTGCGCCCCGCCCGCGACCTGCCCGCGGCCACCGACCCATCGGGACCCGCCCGCGATCCACCGACCGCCCGCCCACGGCCTGTGCGCAGTCCACTGAGACCCACCCTGCGATCTGCCCGTTGCTCCGAGGGTGACTCACACGGGAGCCGCCCGCGCTTCGCCAGCGGAGGAGGAAGGGGAAGAGAAGGAGAAGGAGGAGGAGGAGGAGGAGGAGAGGGGGAGGAGGAAGGAGGGGAAGAGGGAAGGAGGAGGGACGGATGAGAGGAGGCGGGAAGGGAGGCAGGAGGAGGGAGGCAGGGGGGGAGGAGGGAGGGGGCCGAAACTCGGAAGGCGAGAGGGGCCGTCTCCTGGGCGTCCCCGCGGACAGCTCCGAGAGGACAGACTCCTGCTGGGGGGGGGGGGGGCCCGCCAGCCGCCGTCGGGCAGCGGGGCTGGGCAGGTCAGCATCGAACCGGGAAGTCGGATCGGATCGGATCGAAGCGCCCACGACCGCCTCGATCCGGCGTCGCCCCTCCTCCCAGAGAAACAGGGGACCGCCGTCACCGAGAATCCATCGGTGGGAGGGGGGAGCCGACCTCTGGGCAGTGCGCCCAGGCGTCGCCCAGAACTGGCCGCGGCCAGGTCCAGAGCGCCCTGGGACGCTCTGACAGCCCGTGAGGGCGCTCGGGAGCGATGCGTGCTCCTCCAAGGCCTGCCTCCCCCCCCCCCGGGAAGAGGGCAAGCAAGAAGAAAACCGCCGCCACCACCGCCATCGCGACCCCTATCTCGAGACAGCCCGCCTCTCCGAGATCAGGCAGCACCGATCCGAAGCTCGGCTCACGTGGAGCGGGCGTCGGATCGGGGCCCACCGGCACGGAACCAAAAAATCCAAGGCCCACCACAACGCCGGAGTCGAAGGGTCGGCAGACCGGAACCGGATCTGATCGGGCTGGCAAACAGACTCCTCCTCCTCCTCCTCCTCCTCCTCCTCCTCCTCCTCCTCCTCCCATATCGGATCGGTCGGATCAAAAGGAGCCCCGATAGAAGGGGCTCCACGATCGAGGTTCGGGACTCGACGATCGAGGCTCGCAGATCGACGCTCCCCGGTCGATGCTCTCGAGGTCCGACGATCGAGAGTGGAGGCTCCCGGCTCTGTTTCTAGCCTCTTCCGTGTCCAGGAGCCGATCTCTGAAGGGACGGGCCCTCCTCCTGCCCCTCTTCATCCTCGTCTATCCTCCTCCTCCTCCTCCCCCCCCTCCCTCCATCCTCCTCATCCTCCCCCTCCCTCCTCCTACCTCCCTCCCCTCTCCTCCTCCTCTTCCTCCTCTCCCTCTCCCCCTCCCCTCTCTCCTCCCTCCTCCTCTCTCCTCCCTCCTCCCTGCTCCCTCCTCCTCTTCCTCCTCCTCCCCCCCCTCCTCTCCTCCCTCCCCTCCTCCTCCCTCCCCTCCCCCCGCCTCTTCCTCCCTCCTCCTCCTCCCCCCTCCTCCTCCGCCGTGCCAAGCATCGACAAGACAAAAACAAATTCAAATTCTGCCAGAATGCCCGTCATGGTAGCTGTAGTCACCCCGCTCAAGATCGCAAATGTAAAGCGACACGAGACGGCACGATATATCCTCAACCTCCGCGTCGCCAACGATATGAGGGTTGGCAAGCTTCCCTCCCCGTAGTAGTGTTCAACTTTAGCTTGCTGCATGATCTACGTGGTTGCCGTGCCTTCGCCAGCGTAGCGTTCATGTATACGAATGGTGATGCTCCTTGGTGTCCTACAATATGTGCGTTATGCCCTCGTGTTCCCTGTTTGCCGTCTCGTTTCATGTATTCTCAAGCGGTACGCGATCGGCATGCGTACGTACACTCACACACTTGTTCCTCCTCCGGCGATGAGGTGTCACGACCGAGCAGGTATAACCCCACACCCAAACACACACACACAAACGATCACTCTCACTCACTCGACGCGTGCGCGCGCACGACAACCTCATCCCTGACTTGGTATGATCGCTGCTCTCAGGCGTGACATCGCAAGAACACTATGCACAAGGCACGCCGCAAAGGCACCGCCAGTGCCCATGTACCCGGCTTCTACTTCCTGGGGAATCCAAAAAACCGATGCCGCTACTCCCCGGACTTCTCCCGGGTGCGTTTTGACCAGCGCTTCGAGGCGAATCCAGCGGTGGCGGCGAGGGCCTCCCAGAAGGCCCACAACGAGGTGAACGGTCGAAGGGCAGCGGTTAAGGGTACCTTTTTCATCCTCCGATCAAACCCCAGAGCTCGAGACCTTGCCACCTGGATGCTGCCGCGCTTGTGCTGCACGGGCCAGGCCGCTACGGAGGTGCTGCCTGCACTCCTGGAGAAGCTCAATCTACATGTAGGTCGGGCAGGTCCCCCCTTCAGGCGGATTTTTGAAGGAAAAGTCAAACAAATCAGAAAGGACTTGAAAATATTCACAGATACCCAACACATCGTCCCCTGACTACTTTTTGGCTATTGGGATTTTCCCCCTTTAGAGGGACATGCCCGACTTACATTCACAGAGGCGGCAAGATCGCGATGCCCGCCGTCGCTGCGAGGCCATGCGGGGAATCTGCGCGTCCTCCGCCTTGGCCATGCCGCCGATGCTGAAGTGCTGCCGTGAGGGGCAACGATAGGGGGGACCGGCATAGGGGGGGGATGCATCGACCAGGAATCGAAGATACATCGCCGATAGATCTAGGGAAACGAACAATGACATAAACATAATAACTCGGAGATCCGCACGGATTTCTCGGATCGGCGCTGGGGCCCCCCGGCGGCGCCTCCGGCGCCGCCCCTGGCGCGCTCCGCGCGCCAGGGAGGGGGGTCCAGCGCGAATGCAAGAAATCCGCGCGGACCTCCGAGCTGTCATGTTTTTATGTCATTGTTCGTTGCCCTATAGATCGGCAAGCAACCCCGAGAGCGAATCCGCACCCCTGTTCCCGGGCAGGTCGGGGCTATCGGGCGCCTCTCGGCGACCCATGGGCGATGGCGGGTCGACGCATCCCCCGATCTGTCCTCAACCCCCGATCCGTGGCCCCCGAGGCCAGCACGCTCCGAGCAGCCCGCTCGGCATCGCCGTGCCCGCCGCCCGCTGCGAGGCCGTGAAGGGGCACCTGCGCGCCACTCCGCCCCCCGCCGCTGCCGCTCCGAGCGCAGACGACCTCCGTCGAACGGCCGCGCGACCGACGCCGGGCGTCCTCACTCCGAGCCGACGCCGCGGAGGCCCACGCGGCCCGGGGGGCGGCTGCCCGCGCGTGCCGGCCCCTGGCCCGCCGTCGTGTGCAGCTGTGCCAGCTCCTCAAGCATGCGCTGCTCGCGGACGGCCGCGATGAGCTCGCTCTCGAGCAGGGGCTCGCCGTCCAGGTCCTCGGCTTCCTCACCGGCCTCACCGTCGGCCTCCGGAGGATGCGCGGGCGCCTGGGGCAAGGAGGCGGACAGACTCACGAAGTGCTCCGAGGAGGCCTCTACCCATACGATGTGAAAATGCCCAGCCAGCTGCATTTTGCGCAGCCCGAACTTGGAGCCGACGCGGGTGATCCTGTCGGCTCCGCCCCTGCTCTCGAGGTGAGTCTTTACGGCAGATACCTGCTCAGATGACATGGGTGCGACTGCCGGGGAAGACTCATCATGCTGCAATCTGCGACCAACCGCGGCATCACATTCAGACTGGGGTGGAGCAGTGTTCGCACTCTCACCAGAGTCCCCAGGAGAAGGACCACCACCAGTCAACATTCCAAACAATAATGCCTCTGTCTCAACGGACGCATCTGCCGCTAGTCGCTCCATGGCGGCATCCACGCTGGCCAAGTCTCTGGCTCGCTGCCGCTGCCGCTTAGCTCCATGCGATCCCGCCGAGTGAGCATGAACACCATGTGCGTGTTCAGTGCGGGCCCGTGCCCCGTCTCCCGCAGCCGCAGCAAGACTGAAATTGCGCTTGTGGCGCTTCCCGCTCAAATGCTTGTCGTGCTCCCTGAGGTCACGCGAGATGACATTGCAAATTCCACACCTGTACATTGCCGCAGCAAGCTGTCCCGGCAACGCGACTGATGACTCGACCAGAAGAGGCTACGGGAAGCCGGGCGCAGGACGCCTCATCGCCAGGGCAGCGCGCAAAAGCTCCGCCAGCTCCCCGAGTCTGTCCCTGGGGATTCGCTGTCCCCTCCCCCACGGTGAAGGCATTGGATAAGGACACCTTCGGTAAGGAATCCAGGGTCTGGAAGCCGGTGGAACGCCAATCGTGGAGTGGCCACGGATGTCACCGCCGCCCTCACCAGAGCAGGAACCTTCCAGGGTCTGAAGCCTCCTGGGCACGTTCCCTCACGAACGCCCCCACCGCACTGCAGGCGGCGGAGGCTACGCGCAACAAGCTAGATCTAGGGGAACAAAAAGTGGCATAAACATAAAAACTCGGAGGTCCGCGCGGATTTCTCGGATCGGCGCTGGGGCCCCCCGGCGGCGCCTCCGGCGCCGCCCCTGGCCGCTCCGCGCGCCAGGGAGGGGGGTCCAGCGCGGATGCAAGAAGTCCGCGCGGACCTCCGAGTTGTTATGCTTATGCCACTTCTTATGCCACTTCTTGTTCCCCTGAGATCGACAAACTGATGCCTGGTGGCCGCCTCCCCGTAGCCTCCATGGCCGCGCTGTCGCCCTGCCCGCCCCCGCGCCCGCCCGCCCGTGCCGGGCCTCACGCAAGGACCGACGCCCGGGCTCCGCCGGGTCCCCCTTCCCCTCCTCCCGGTGAGCACATGGCGGCCTCCCTCCGGCGAGTGCCTGCGGACGGGGCGGCAAGCGCAGCGCCCGCCTGCAGTGCTCGTCACTTTGGCGGTGCTGCAACGGCACGCAGGATCGCCCTGCTGCAACTCGATCTCGCCCCACCCCCCCCCTCTCCTCGGATCCCCCCCCCCCCCTCTCTACTCCTCCCCCTCCCCCTCCCCGTCCCCCTCCTCCTCCTCCTCCTCCGCCTCCTCCTCCTCCTCCTCCTCATCCTCCTCCTCCTCCTCCCTCCTCCTCCTCCTCCTCCTCCTCTCCTCCTCCTCCTCCTCCTCCTCCTCCCCTCCCCTCCCCTTTTCTCCTCCCCGTCTCCTCTCCTCCTCCTCCTCCTCCTCCTCCTCCTCCTTCGCCTGATCGGTCCCATCCTCTTCCTCGCACGGCTCCATCCTGCCGATGCTCATTCTCAACACCTCCTCTCGTAATTCCTCCTCCTGCCCCCCCCCCCCTGTCTCTCTCCTCACCCTGATCCATCCCATTCCCCTCCCCCCAAGACTCCTCGTAATCCTGGCCGAAGTTCCTCCGTCTGCTCATCCTCTCGTCATTCCTCCTCCTCCTCCTCCTCCTCCTCCTCCTCCTCGTCCTCTGCCTCTTCCTCCTCCTCCTCCTCCTCCTCTTCCTTATTCTCCTCCTCCTAGTCCTCCTCCTTCTCTTTCTGGGACTCCTCCTCCTTCTCCCCGTCCTCCTCCTCCTCCTCCTCCTCCTCTCCCTCCTCCTCCTCCTCCTCCTCCTCCTCCTCCTCCTCGTTCTCCTCCTCCTCCTCCTCGTTCTCCTCCTTCTTTTCCCCCTCGCTGTTTTCCGAGGGTCACTGCGCGGCGGGCCAAGGGGTGACTCTCACATGACGCACACGAGACGGGCACGCGGGAGCCAGGCGGATGGACGAGGCGTGCCTCCTCGCCCTCGGCAGCGGCACGGAGCAACGTCTGACTCGCAGTGCAGGGAGCCGAACTCTCTACAGCAAGTTCCTGTCGTGCCGACTTCGGCGATGCTTTCTGACACCCCGGGGACCGAAACGTCAGATCGTTCAACATCGACCGATTCTGGGTCGCTGGCGGCGTTGAATGTTGAACGCCCGCGGCGGGGTGGCCGCCGGCCCACACGACGCGAACCTGCCGTACACCGACTCTGTTTCCGGCCCTGCACCGAAAATCGCACAAGAAAGAAGATCCTGGTGTATACAAGATGCTGGTGTATCTAGCTTCCGTTATTTTCCCATGAAGCGGACGAACTAAGTGTGCACCACACCACCTCGACGTCGTCCCCGACCCTCAGAAGGTCCTGGGATTGAAGAAAAGTCCGCCACTGGTAATGTAGATGTTCCAGTTTCCGACAGTGGGAGTCGGGAGCTGGAGCTCGTTTTGGAAGAACATCAAGAAGAAGCAGTGAGCAGGAGAAGGAGAGCTGGCAGGAGGAGGATGATCTGTCATGGGCCCTCAGACGTCACACCCACCAATCCGACCCCCACCCAACCTCCACTGCCTCCTCTCAACCTCCACTGACTTCTCAAGGCAACACGCCCCAACAAACGGTATCTCCCACTCGCAAGTAAGCCGGGTGGAGACTGTCAGAGCAAACTCGGGGGTTACCGTAGAGCGAACCCCTGGGACTGCGCTTGGGTAGTAGGGATGACACATGGCAGTGAGATGAATGCGAATTCCATAGCATCCCTAGAGGCTCCAGGACCCATGAACCACAACCTTACCTCCTCGAGTTTCCATGATGCTTGCGCGATGCTAGGTGAGGCCACCAGACGCCTTTCCCTGCTTCCTCCCAATCACTCCTGAACCCCCCAGGGCCGCTAAACCCTGAGCCCGCAGGACCCACCAACAACCCCGACACCTCGTGGAATACCAAATTCGAAATCTACCTTGTGGAAGTCGAGACCCCCTACACCTCCAAGAACCGTGTGCAGCCCACCAAACCTCCTAAACCAAACGGTCGCGAGATTGCGCACACAAAAATAACGGCAGGAGACGGACGAGGACCAACGTAAGCCTAAGAATCATCAACGATGCTAGACTACATTCTCTTCCAAACTCCCTCCTCATACGCCCCTGCAAGAGTTCATTTCCACTGAAAGAAATGCCCCATTGGGGGGCAACCGTGTGAAAATCTTGAACGGTGACAGAACTCCAGTCTCAGGACTTCAACGCCACGAATCGCCATGACTGTTGCACCTTGACGATCCAGAACCGCGCCAAGAGCACCATTCCTGGGATTGCAACACCGCGAACCAACGGAACTGTTAAGCCCCGACAATCCTGAATCGCTCCCACACCTCATTTCTGCAACGGTAACCATGAGAACCAATGACATTCTTGTGAACTGTTGAAACGAATGTGCCAAGCACTGAAGCGAGAACCGCATTTTGAAATCCAACCGCCCTGAATCCGTGAAACTCGTGCAAATGTTGAAGACGCATGTGCGCGGCGCTAAGGCGAGAACCACATTCTGAAAACCACCCGTTCTCAGTCCTTGAAGTTGTTGCAAGGGTATGGCGAACGTGCACGGTGCTAAAATAATGACCACAGTTCTAAATCAACCCGCCCTCAATCAGTGAAGCTCTGGTACTTTGTGTAGAACGAATGTGCGCGGCGCCAACACGAGAGCCACCTGTTGGAAGCGGCCCGCCCTCCACATCCCTGGAACTGATGTCAATCTTGTACTTCAGGGTCAACTATGGTAAGGGAGTCTCAGGAGGAGGAGGAGGAGGTGGAGGAGGAGGAGACGAAGGAGAAGGAGGAGGAGAAGGAGGAGGAGGAGGAGGAGCGGGGATGCGGAGGAGGAATTCACGACACTCAGACTGGCGGGACTTCCGAGTGCAAGCTCAGTCCCTGCCAAACAACTCAGGTTCCCCACAGGAGACGCAGCCCGACGGATGAGGAGGAGGAGGAGGAGGAGCAGGACGAGAACGAAGTAGCAGCAGCAGGTGGAGGAGGAAGGAGGGCAGGGAGGGGGAGGGAGAAAGGGAGGGAGGGAGAATGGAGGGGGGGTAAGGAGTAGGGGGAGGGTGCGTGAGAGGAAGGTGGAGGTGGATGAGATGAACCAGGCGAACCAATTAATGCTGCAAGCAACCAACTAAAACCTAAACAATAACAGTAATATGGCGGGAATTTCCAAGCCCCAAGTGCCGCAAACATAAACGAGCAGCACGCTGCATCATTACATATGTATTGGCATCTGGCGCCTGAGAAGCCTTCTCGGAAGCGCCCGCGGCCCACCGAGAAGCCCAAAGCCCTCCTGGAAGCCTCGCCACCCGTCTTGTAAGGCCTGCATGCGAGGAAGCCTGCCTGAGTCTACAGTACGCTTGAAGTTGAGGAAGTTCCCAGCTAAGCAACTGGACTTCACTCGAAGGCCATTTCTTAAACGGCTGCCCATGCCCAGAGATACGAAGTTCTGCAAACAAGAATCTTCGATAAACCGCCCAGGGTCCAGCCCCGATTCTTGCCATTCTGAAGCAACATCTCGACACCACGAACTTGAATGCCTTTTCTCTGGATTTCTGGTCGGTGCACAGCTCCATCAAGCACCAGAGGCATCCCAGGTGGGGTCGGAGTAGATGGGGTCGGAGGATCGCGCCGCATCGCCGATACATCGCCGATGCATCGCCGATGCACCAGCGCAATCGGCGATGCATCGGCGCTGTCGGCGTGCATAGATTCGGGCTCCACATCGAGCCTCATCGCCGATTCATCGGCGATGCGGCGGGACCCTCCGACCCCAACTACTCGGAACCCATCTGGGCGGCATGGATCCAACATGAATGGAAAACACGCCTCTGATGGTCGCTCCCGGCCGGCTTCGCAGGCAGTAGCGTGGAGGGGGTGGAGGGGGGAGAAGGAGGGAGGAGGAGGAGGAGGAGGAGGAGGAGGAGGAGGAGGAGGAGGAGGAGGAGAATTCGGGAGAATTCGGCGACGACGATGCCGAGTTTGGGAGAAAGAGGACGAGGGAGGAGGGAGGAGGACGAGGAAGAGCCCTTGCGGGCCATGTCAGCAGACATGTTGGGACCGAATCTCATCTACGCCCTTCACTTCTCTGCGGGACGGGGGGGCGGGGGAACCGGCATGCAAGTCAACTTACCTGGGCCTACAGCAAAATGCCCTCCAAGGCGAGCCCCCCCCCAGAGGCTTCCAGAGGTCTGGACCCCCCCACGAGGCTGAACACCTGCACGAAAACTGAAGTCGCAATTCTTTTGTAACGCGAGGATGTCAGGGACCCTATGCCTGCCTGACCCCCCTGCCCGATGGGCAGGAACCATAAGCAAGAGAGCAAAAGCCACCGCCACCATCGCCAACTCCACACGGGCTGGGCCGCCTCCTGTAGGATCACTGAGACGACCGCGGGGGTTGCTCGGGGAATCGA